AGCCACCAAACAATGGCAACCTTAGCGCCCGCCCCGGGGGGCTGGCTGGAGGACAGGAGACTGTCCCTGTAAGTCGGGGACCTTGATTTCACCAGGCTGTGCCCTGGCTTCCCATGACCAGCCCGTGAGCACCAGGGTTCCCATCTCTGAGGCTCGGGGGAGAGTTCGGTGTCCGTTACACGCTGTGAGTAAGTGGCGCCCCACAGGCAGCTGAAACCACGGTGTACTTCCCCTCCGTCGAGAATGAATCTTTATTATCTTTATGACCAAGCACCTTTGACTGGAAATGGGATTCTGACTTCATAGAAATTCTGCAAAGGGAGAGATTAGGAAAAGGCGGGCCTCCTAAATCCCTTCATCGGGAAAACAGCAGGGCAGGGCACAGGGGCCAGGCTTGAATAATCCCTTCCCCTCCTTGAGCCCCAGACGGGGGCGGTGGGAGGAGAGATGATCCGCTCTGGTTTGGGCATCTCTCTTGCCTGGAGGTGGGTCCCTGGGAATGTGTCCTGTGTTGGCCCAGTGTCTCCTCCCCCACTTCCCAGCAGAGCCCCAGTCCTCACTCCCTTTGCCTTTAGATTAGTGGGCCTACCCGGCTCCACCAGTCCGCACACCCAACCTCTGTGCCGTCTGCACAGCCGCTCCTGAGCCCTGCACAAAGAAACCCAAGGCTCCTCTAGGAGAAAGCAGTGGTGATAGAAAACAGAGGCCAACTGAATCCCTTCTTTAACGATGCACTGAGCACTCTCTCTGCACCAAGTCCTAGGCTTACAAAGAAATCATCAAATATAGTCCGTGCCCCAAGGTTCTCACCAGACAAGTCGTCAGAGCACGTTAGTCAACGTGGAAAGAGCTCCCCTGGAAGTTTAGAGTCTTACGTGCCAAATCTTAAAGGGCAGATAAAGACGGGCCGAAGTGTGGAAGGTAGTTCCACCCAGAGGGAAGTGAACGTGCAAAGACCCAGGTCTGGGGAACATTCTGGAGACAGCTGGGAGTTCCATGTGGCTGCAGCACGAGGTGTCCGTGGGACAGAGGCAGACGATGAAGCTGAGAGGAAGCAGAGCCTTGGACACACACTCACTAAGAGGCTGGTCATCCCAAAGGCAACTGGAAACCCCTGGAGCTATTAGGAAGCCAAAGGGAAAGGTGGCGGCCGGCTGAACGAAAGACAAGCAGGTCTTTGACGCGTGTCTTTCACAGGAGATACGTATACAGCTCTCCCAACAGAGCGCTGTTCATGGCCACGTCCATCCCCTGCAGCCCAAGCTACTCGCTCCACAAAGACCCCCCAGGGCTTTCGGAGCAAGTATAGCTAACACGCAGTGAGCACCTAATAGATGCAAGGCACTACTCTAAGTATTTTGCATACATGAGTTGGTTTAGTCCTCGCAGCTACTGGATAAGGTAGGTACTACTATCAGCCCATTTTACAAGTAAGGAAACTGAGGCACAGCTGGGAGAGTACTTTGCCCAATGCCATACAGGGTGGTGGAGCTGAGAGAGCAGGTCAGTCTCCCGAGTCAGTATGCAGGGAGCCCAGTCGCCCCTCCCACCGCATGTCCTGACCTTCTCCACGGAGGGCAGCACCTTTCGGGGTCCTGGGCATGCCTGCTGCCCCTCCTCTCTGCTCTCCAAGTCATCCCTGTACTCTTGGCCCCACCCTGAGCTCCCTGCCAGCCCAGCAGCCTTTGCTGCGGGCCCTCCGCAGAGCCCGGGCTCACTTGGGTAGCAGCACACTGTTGACATTAGGATTCACCTGTCTCAAAGGTCTCTCCAAGGAGATTGGAATTCCCGGAGCCCCAGGGCTGTTTCTTCCTCTTTATCTCTTCCCACTCCAATCTGCTCCTCCTTTCCCAAAATGAACTATCATAGTCTCCGAGGATCATCATCGCACCCACCCCTTGCTCACAGCCTTCATCACTTGGGGCGAGCGGGGAATCCCATGTCTCCTGCCTCGCCTATCTCCCTACAGGATTCACCCAGCACTCCGTCTTCCCAGCACTTTGCCCCGTGCCTGGCAAAAGCAGGCACTCAATGAGGGTTTGTGGAATGGATGAATGAACCTGACTTGTGTCAAAGCATTATAATTTACAAAGCACTTTTCTCATCCATTAACTCAAGGGCTATTCCTTGTGAGTCTTCCGTGTCCCCCATGAGGCTCAGCACAGAAGTGTATGGTTATGGTGCAGCCTCCTAATAATCAATGGATGAGAAGAAGAATGGACTCCTGATTACAGAGAGAAGGAGAATCCGTTCCATTAGCCCGCAAGCATCTTGAGGGCAAAGACCGGATCTTATTCATCTTTATAGTTCAATGCCCAGCACAATGCCTGCTACATAGAACCCACTTTTGTGAAATGTGTTGGATAAATCAATTTCACCCTCTGCAGAAGTAACAAGAAGACTCCTGGCTACTAGTTGGACTGACGTGTTTCCATTTCTAGCACACTTTGACCTTGTGTTTTAAATCTCAGATCTCTGATGGGAAAAGGTTACTCTTCCTATTTTGCATATAACAAAACAGAATCTCAGAGAGGTTGGATGTCCCGCCCAAAGCTCACGTAGTCCCCCTACATCTGTGGGGGTGAGAGGTGACAGAACAGATTGAAGACACAGTGGCAACGGCTGTAAGGTCCTATTGGCTCCCCCAGAAGCAAAGGGGCCAGGTCTCCAGTTCTAGACTCCCAAGATGTCTGATGTAGTCCGCATCTCTCCTTTTCTGACTCATTAGCTTTAGACATGTGGCATCGGGAAAGAGGACCGGGCTCAAAGACTGATGTAAGTGCTACTTATGCTGGTTCTCAGGTGTGTCCAGCACCCCACTGCCTGTTTAGGGACAGGTTGCAAAACCTTCATCACGCTGGCCCTGGTTAGCCCAATCACCCACACCCAAGCCAAGAGCATAGTTTACCTCAATCACAGCGGATCCCAGGTTCTGACCCACTGGGAGAGATCAGACCCCCACACTCAAAGGTGGGGGGCACATTCTAGGCTGTGCTGGGCCATCTGGAAGTGGGCCCAATTGCTGAAAACCGCTTTCTGAAAATTCTCCCCTGCTGGACTTTTATTCCGAGGTTTAACTACAGACGGGGATGTGAATTTTCCTCGTGCCCCATTAGGTCCCCCGCCCCAGATCCTGAGCCGGCCTCCGCGGCTCCCTGGGCTATTCATTCAAGGACTTTGGAGGAGTTGGCACCAAACTCCACTCCACCTACGAGTCCCCAGGGCGCCCTCTAGCGGACGCGGGGCGCGGGGTGCGGCCATTGCTCTCCCTCGGGCCAGTCCCGCGGCGAAAGAGCACCTGGCTGGACCCACACCGCACTGCGCAGGTTTGGAGACCAAGATGTGTGAAAGCGGCTGTTGTATGTTTATTTGTTTGTTTGTTTTGAGGGTGGGAGGCGGTACCCCTGTCAGCGTCGGCAGAGAAACTGTCAGTGGGCCATGGGCTGAAGCCCGACAGCTGCCACGCAAGCTGCGTCCCCTCCACCCCTGGGACCCAGGCTTTGCCCCAGGGACATGCCCACCGGTGACCATCACACGCCCCCACCCCCTCCAACTCCCAGATCCGGTCTCAGTTTCACGGCTCGGCTTTGGGGTGTCCCCAGTTCCCTTGAGACAGGCCGGGGCCTCTGGGGGCCGCGCTTGGGACCTCGAGCGGGCCGGGGTGGGGGCGAGGGGGTGTCCCCGCGAGGTCCGAGAAGAAGGGAAGGGAAGCCGGGAGCCTCTCCGGCTCGGCCTCCTGGAACTGCCCGCGCTCCCGGCGCTGCGCCCCCGCCTCCGACAGAAACCTGCCTTCTTAGAAGGGAGGGGGAAAGTGTGAATGAGAAGTTGGGGGCGGAGCGCGCGCGGGGGAGGGGCCGCTGCCCGGAACGCGCCGCCGAGGCTGGCGCCGCGCCCGCCGGCCGCCCTGGCCGCTAGCGTCGCGCTTTGTCTCTCGCGCGTCTCTGCTGGTCCCCGCGCGGCCAGAGGCCCGCCCTCGGCCCGCGGCCCCTCCCTCGCCCTCCGCGCGCAGCCTTTCATTGCTGCGAGTAGTGACTAAACATTACAAGAAGGCCGGCCACGCAGTTCCAGGAATCGGGGGGGCGGGGCGGGGCGCCGAGTATATACCCGCGAGCACGGCCTCCGCCGCGGCTCCGACTCGCACTCGCCGCGCTGCCGCCGCCACCGCTGCGACTCCGGCCCACACGCCACCGTCCGCAGCTCGCGCCACGGCCCCTCGCCTCTTCCCGGCGCGGACGACCCCGGGGTGCGCAGAGGGCAGGGCGGACGCCCCGGCGAAGCCCGAGGGACGCCCGCGCGAGGGCCCCATTGTGGACTTCACCGCCGCCAACATCTGGGCGCAGCGCGGGCCACCGCTGGCCGCCGCGCCGCCGCCTCACCTCGGGGACGGTAGGAGGCTCAGCCCCAAGGCCGGAGACTTCAGTTTGGGATCAGGTAAGAAAAAGGGGCGCGGTGTGGAGAGGGGGGTGGCCCTTGCTAGTCCCGGGAGCTTTCCCGGTTTCCCCTCCCTTTCCCGGGTCTTTCCCGGCAGGGAGGGGAAGAGGTAGGACACGGAGCGGATGGAAGTCGGAGATCCCAGGTTCCCGGAATACCCAGGCTGGGGCCCTCGGGCTTCTTAGGTCCTCCCCCCGCGCACCCCCCCCCCCAATGCCTCGGGTTTCTTTCTCTGTCCCCGCCGCCCGGAGCCACCGGACTGAGCGGCGCCCAGAGCGTCCCGGGGGCCCTTCTGTGCTCCCCACCCCGGCCACGCTCCTGGAGACCCAACTTCCGCGCCCGAGTTTCCCACTCGGCGCCCTGCCAGTGCGCGCTGGGGAAGGGGCAGCCCGAGCTCCCCCGCCGGCGGGGGCGAGGGCTTGGCGGGCTCTGCGGGGTGCCTGGGTCGGAACGAGAGCCCAGGCGAGGACCGCCGGGGCAGGGGGTGCCCCGTCCGCCCGGAGGAGGCACGGGCGCTGGGGCGGGCCGGGCGCACTGGAGGATTCCGGGCACTCACGCGGCGCGCGCCTTCCTCCCCACAGCCCCCCGTGATGCAGTAGCGGCCACTGTGCGGAGGCCGCCTAGCCGCTGCAGCCGCCGCCGCGCAGATCCACGCTGGCTCCGTGCGCCATGGTCACCCACAGCAAGTTTCCCGCCGCCGGGATGAGCCGCCCCCTGGACACCAGCCTGCGCCTCAAGACCTTCAGCTCCAAGAGCGAGTACCAGTTGGTGGTGAACGCAGTGCGCAAGCTGCAGGAGAGCGGCTTCTACTGGAGCGCCGTGACGGGCGGGGAGGCGAACCTGCTGCTCAGCGCCGAGCCCGCCGGTACCTTCCTCATCCGAGACAGCTCGGACCAGCGCCACTTCTTCACGCTCAGTGTCAAGACTCAGTCTGGGACCAAGAACCTGCGCATCCAGTGCGAGGGGGGCAGCTTCTCTCTGCAGAGCGACCCCCGGAACACGCAGCCCGTGCCCCGCTTCGACTGCGTGCTCAAGCTGGTGCATCACTACATGCCGCCCCCCGGGGCTCCCTCCTTCTCCTCACCGACTGAACCCACCTCCGAGGTGCCAGAACAGCCGCCGGCCCAGCCGCTCCCGGGGAACCCCCCCAGGAGAGCCTATTACATTTACTCGGGGGGCGAGAAGATCCCTCTGGTGTTGAGCAGGCCCCTCTCCTCCAATGTGGCCTCTCTCCAACATCTCTGTCGGAAGACCGTCAATGGCCACCTGGACTCCTATGAGAAAGTCACCCAGCTGCCTGGACCCATTCGGGAGTTCCTGGACCAGTACGATGCTCCACTTTAAAGAGCAAAGGGCAGGGGTCGGGGCGAGGGGCCTGGGTCTCCTTTCCTCCGTGGCACATGGCACAAGCACAAGAATCCAGCGGAGAGAGCCCTGCGGCTCTGGGTGAGCCAGGGGGTGGACAGGCCCCTCCCTCTGGCCCTCCCCCTGCAGAATGGGGCAGGCAGGACCTGGAATGTGTTTGAGGGAAGGGGAGTGCCACCTGAGCACCCCTCCCCCACTCCAGCCTCTCCGGAGGAGCCAGAGGCCCGATGGGACCACGCCAGCGACAGCAGTGGATTGATTATCCTCTACTCTCCGCTTCCTCCACTCCCTGCACTTCCAGACCAGGGACACTGCCGGAGTGCTGAACTAGTGAGAACTGCTGGGGAATCTGCAAACTTTCCGACGGAACTTGTTTGCTCTTTGATTTGGTTTTAAACATGGCTTTAACCCTGAGCAAGTCTCAGGCCTGGGACAGGGTGGACGAGAGAGTGTGCCTCAGGGCCCCAGGGCTGCAGGCTGGCCAAGGAATTGGCCACGCCCACCGCCCAACCCAGGTGAGGAGGGTGGCTGCTAGCTCCTCCCCTGGCTCCGGGGAGAACAAGACCAAGGGGTGACCTGAAGGGGACCGTTCTGCTCCCTCCCCCTTGGGACAGCCACCAGGAAACACAGGTCCTAGAGTCTATTGAGTGCCCAAGAGCCCAGATCCCTTCCCCCGTTTTAAGGGGGAAGTGGTATTTGGTGGGGGAGGGACAGGCTGGTCAGTTCTTTCCCCACTCATGCTATACCTTCCAGCACCTGGGGGCTGGGAGGGACGGAGGAGATGAGCCATCTTTGACCCCTGACCCCAGCCAGAGAAGATGGAGGATTCCACTTTGTGCCTCCTATGTCTGGCTCGGAGATTTGCCTTAAATGCTCCCTGTCCCATGGATAGGGACTGGCACACAAGAAGCCACACACGCAGCCAATCCAGGCAGAGGCCAAGGGATTCTCAGAGGGCAGGCAGCTGGCCACACATCATGGGAGGTGGGCGCAGATGCATGATCCTGTCTTCCAGCTGAGCACTGGAAGAATGATAGCCCAGCTGGTATTGGCCTGTCATAGGTGCCTCCTGGTGCCTGGGCTCTGGCCAGAGCACAGCCACCAGGTCCCACAGCCCCCCAGGCCCTGCACAGCGCTGCCTCCTCCCCTGGGGCCAGAGGGGCATGCATGGAGTCATCAAGAGACCAGGGTACCTGCCACCCCGGCTGCTTCTGCTCTGCAATAGCACTGATCAGTGAAAACTTACAGGAATGTAGCAGTGATGGAATTACCTGGAATTGTGTTTTTTGGGGGGGGGTGGGGGGGAACTAAACAAAGTTTTCTTTGTCAGGTATTGGTTTGGATGGGGCAGCTGTGTGTTGGGGTTTTTTTTTTTTTCTGTTATTTTTGTTTTTGTTTTTGTTTTTTGATGATGTTTACAACCTGCCTCAATCACTCTGTCTTTTATAAAGATTCCACCTCCAGTCCTCTCCCCCCACCCCACCCAAGCCTTCAGGGCTGTTAGGAGATGCTTGAAGAACTCAACAAAATATCAATCCAAACTTTGCACATATTTATATTTATATTCAAAAAGAAACATTTCAGTAATTTATAATAAAGAGCACTATTTTTTAATGAAAAACATGACTTGAGCCTTTTTCCCCCAGCCCCTTCTCTGCCTTGCTTTCTCTTTCACCCACACCCACACCCTGCACCAAGGGGAGGCGGGAGGGAGCCGCCACTCTCTGTGGCTCTGCCCCCTTGCTGCCCTGGCGTCCTCAAACTCCTTCACGTCACTTACAAGCTCTGGCAGCCCCTAGACTGCACCGAGAGGGTAATTCCTGCTAGTCTGATTCAGATCTGACCAGAATATGCAAAGCAAGTTCGAAGGAAGCGCTTCAAAGGGTTTGCAGGGAGTGAGCTGAGCTGTGGTCAAAGCTTTTAGAGGCTCCAAGCTATTAGAAGCGCTTGGCTCCTAGGCAGGGAGGTTTCCGAGAAAGCCCAGACTACAGGGTCCTGGCGATGACCCGTGACCTCAGCACAGCTGGGTTCGCGAGAGGTGGGGGGAGGGGTAGTCCTGATGCAAACTCTACATGCAAGTGGGGCTCTCCCCAGGGGCACTGCCTCCCTACACCTCCAGCTCCCCACCCGATTCCTAGTGGCACCAGCCTGAGCAGTGAATGGGGTCCCAGACCTCCCAATAAGTGCATCCATCTATTCATCGTTTTTCTTAGTCACTCCCACTCCCTGGGCCCTGTGGACCACCAGGATCAACCTTCCCAGCCACCCCCACAAGACAGGTGTTATCACCCCACATTCTCAGACACAACTGTGAGTCCATGGGAGCAAGGACTTGGACTGGTCACTCTCGATGCCTAGAACGGTGCATAGTAAATATTTGCCGACTCAGTGGGGGCAGCCACTCAGGTTCACGGAGGTTTAGCAACCTGCCCAAGGACACCCCGTTTGGGAATGTGCGAAAGACACAGCATTGAACCCAGGAGCATTTATTTCCAAAGCCCATGGACTCGCTACCTCCCTAAGTGTATGCCCGGGTTGCCTTTAGGTGGGTGCCCCCTGCAAAGCCAAGAGGTTAATACTGCCCCACCACCAGTACTCTGGGGTTTCAGCACTAGGGGTTCTGCTGAAAACCAAACAAAAAAACCTTCTCTGTTGCATTTCCTTCCATGCTTCCTCCCCCCACCCCTGACCACCCCCCCCCCATGACAGCTGGAGAGATGACTATGACTGTTATCCCCAAGTCTGGGGCTGAGTCCCCATCTCTGAGCCTCAAATGCCTGAAAAAAATGCCAAGCTCCCCACCCCCACCCCTATAAGCTGCTCTAGGAATTCAGTGTCCAAAAGGCAACTGAGCAAGTAAATAAACATCTCTTTCCCATTTCCTGACCTTTAGAGGAAAATAACCTGAAGTGACAAAAGGGCCAGGCCAGGCCAGGCATGACACCGCGGAGTGGACAGATAGGAAGCACACCACAAAGACCCCCTGCAGCTGGGAACACAGACCCAGATAAGGTCCCCTTTCCAGAGCACCAGGTCAGGTGAGGGGACCCAGTGGGGCCCGGCTCCCCAGTGCTTCCCAGGAGGATGTGGGAAACTTCTGGCGGGCTCTCCCCTGCCCTGGGGGATGCCAGTCACTACCATCTGCCTTCCAAGGCACTTGGAACCTGGAGTGCATGAAGTCCCTGTCCTGGCCCAGGAGGCAGCTGTCTAGCCAGGGTGTCCGGTGGTCACAGGACCCTAACAAAAGGGAGTGGCCTTCTCTGGCCCCAGAGGAAACTGCTCTCCCCAACCCGGGGAGGAACACAGGGGCAGGAAGACCCCCAGCTCCTTTCCCTGGATGCCCACTCCAGCCTTCTTCCCGCATCTTACTCCGTCTCTCCCCATTTCCAGTCCGCAGACAGGGCCAACCCTCTGGTTTTGCACACAAGGAAACAGTCCCAGAGAAGGAAAGCAACTTGCTTCAGATCACACAGCAAGCTAGTGCTAACAACAGAGCAAGAATCCCTCCTAGATCCTCTGCTCGGGTGGGCTTCTTCATGTTTCCCTCCTCCTCCCACCCCCTTGGCAAAAATCTCTGTACTTTCTAGTTCTTTCAGGGACAGACACCCCCTCCTCCAAAGGACTTGGGGGGGGGGGCTTCTGTCCTGGCATTAAGGACGGGCGCACCTGGTTCCAGGGCTTACTGAGAGGTGTCCTGAGGGGCCTAGGGACAATTCCCGGTGGCTTCAGCAGGCACCCATGCCCCAGGGACGTTAAGAGCGCATCTGGGGTCCCCTGGCCCACGGAAAGCGGGGAGGCCGCTGCTCCCAGGTCCTGTGCCCAAGTGCTTTGGGCGCTGTAAGAATCCACCCCAGGAGGCCTAGCCTCTCTCCCGCGGCGGTTTGGGGCAGGAGTCCCGACGAGCTAGCGCCGGGAATGGGAACTCTGCGAGCAGGGAGGGAAGGGGCCAGGCCAGGGGAGCTGGAGACAGAAGCACGCCCGCCTCGGTCCACGGAGTCGGGTGTGTGGAGGGGGCGCCCGGCGGACCGGCAGAGAGAGGGAGGGAGAGGCGGCCGGCACCCCGGGGGTCTGAGCAGAAACAAGCGTGCGGCGCGGGGGCAGCGAGCAGCGGGCGGCCCGGGGACGCGAGGCCGAGCGGGCAGAGCCAGGTCCGGGCGCACCTTCCCGCGGGCGTCCCGCCCATCCCGTGCGGGCGGCCGCCCCTGCCAGGAAGAGTCACTCCCCGGACGCTGCGGGAGCCCCGGCGGAGATATGCGAGGAATGTCCACGCCGAGCCGGGCGGCCCGCCGCTGCCCGCCGGCCCTGCGCTCGGGACAGACCCCGCCCCGCGCCGCCCCGCGCCGCCCGCACAGCGCGGGCGCCATGGCAACGGGATTACAGGCGCAGAGTGCTGTTTATTCTCAGCCCAGTGCCAGGAAATTCGGCCGGGAAGCTGCCAGGCGCACCTCCCTGGGGCGGGGGGCAGGAGGAGGAGGAGAGAGGGTGGACCAGCGCGCCCCGGGCTTGGGGGGAGGGCCCCCTTCGTCACTGGGGGGTCACTGACCCCTCCGAGGGGAGGCTGCTCAGAAAGCACCCACTCTTTCCCGGCCAGGAGTGGATTAAGTTTTCTTGTCGCGGGATGTCGATGTACCCCTCCAGGCCAGGGCCTCCCCACCCCCACCCCAGCCCACCCCCACTCACTGTCTATCCAGTGATCCTGTTCTTACGGCCCCTCAGCCCCTGCCTCTCGGTCCCTCATTCACTCATTCATTTATTCACTCAGCCAATAGCTGCTGAGCACATCCTGCGTGTCAGGGGACTGCGCGTGGAACGAGAGGCCGTGGCGGTGACAGAATAAATTGGTGGCGGATACAGAAACGGGGGCTGCTGCTGGTGCGTTTCCAGAGCACTGCTCCTCCTCCGGTAGAAGGAGCACCTCGTCCCGCGTTGCCCAGCCCTGTCCCAGGTGAGACCTGAGAGTCCTGGAAATCGGGACAGTTGATCACCCTACCCTCAGGTCAGAGTACATCCATTTCACAGATGGGGAAACTGAGGCCTGAAATAAAAGGCAGTTCTTCCAGGGTCAGGGCAGGCGGCGGGGGGGCGGGGTGCCATGAGAGTTGGAGGTTCTAACTGAGAATCCAGGGCTCTTTAGGCTATGAGCCCTTTGGGTGGCCCCATCCCCCGCCCTGCAAGGTCCGGAATGCATAGAAACACCTGCAGCCCCCCGGGAGTGGATGAAATTACGGAGGCCTGGACTGCAACCCCATCTCTTCTGAATCAGAAGCCCCAGGACAGTCGGGAATCTCAATGCTCAGCAGCTCCCCAGGTGACTCTCAGACCACGGCTGCCTTCAGGGAAGACAAGCCTGGATCCTCCTCTCTTCCGCCCCGAACCTTGACTAAGCCCAGCTGGGAAGTCAGCAGGGAGGAGAGGCCCCGGTTCACCGCCCTCCCTGCATCAAGCATGGACAACTGCAGCCCATCCCTCTCCCCAAGAGAGGGCCTAGGGGAGGGGAGGACAGTGCTCCTCCCCACCCTAGAGTTGAGCCCTCCCAGCTGTGTGGTGCTGGGAGCAGGCCAGGCATTTGTGAAATCCTTGGGTGAGCCTGACCCACTGTCATGAGGTCTGCCTGTGGAAGCTGGTGCGGGGAGGGGTTGTGGGGCTGTTCCCAGAAGCAGGGAGAACTCTGGACTTCCCACTCCTGAGCACTCTGATTGCAGCATGGCCTTAAGCAACAGCGGTGGCCTGGAAGGCTCTGTGGCCGAGAGAATGAGCGCCCCCACCCTCAGCTCTCTTCTGAAAAGAAGCCAGGGCTCTGAATGCTAAAACTTCACGCGGTCCTCGTGAACACCATCACTGCGGCTATTCATAGCTACCATCAGGCTCTGCTTGGACAGAGGCCGGGTGGCTCAGCTGGTTGGAGTGTCGTCCTGCTTGCCCACCAAAAGGTTTCGAGTTTGATTCTCCGTCTGGGCACATACCTGGTGGCAGATTCAGCCCCTGGTCCGGCTGTACGGGAGGCAACCGATCCATGTTTCTCTCTCTCTTTCCCTCCCCCCAAATCAATAAAAACATATCCTTGTCCTGCTCCTTGGATTGAGCGTCATCCCGTGGGCTGAGAGGTCTGGGTTCGATTCCTGGGTTTCGGCTCGATCCCCAGTGGGTGGCGTGCAGGAGGCAGCAATTGATGTTTCTCTCTCTCTCTCTCTCTCTCTCTCTCTCTGTCTCCCCCGTCCTCTCTCTCTAAAAAGTGAATAAAAACATATTTTTTAAAAAAATCCTTGCCCTGGCCGGTTTGGCTCAGCAGTTAGAGCGTCAACCTGCAGACCAAAGAGTCACAGGTTCGATTCTGGTCAAGGGCACGTACCTCAGTTGCGATTCAATCCCCAGCCCTGGTTGGGGTTGTGTGGGAGGCAACCAAGTGATGTGTCTCTCTCTCTCCCACTCTATCTGAAGATAAATGGAAAAATATCCTCAGGTGAGGATTAAAAAAAAAAAAAAACAGAAAAAGAATAAAAAAACATATCCTCAGGTGAGGATTAAAGAAAAAGAAAGGGGCTGAAAACCTAGACTTTAAAAAACAAACAAACCAGGATGCAAGTTCGTTATTTACACA